AATAATTTATCAAATAAAAAAAATTACAATCCTGTATATACATTAGTGATTATTGACACACCCAAAAGTGACGACGGTTAAGAACATAAGGAAAGATGGAAATGTTTATTTAAGATATGCTACGTACAAATATGAGCAATAGTAATAGGCATCCATCAGTGTCAGTAGACTATGGAGTTGTGCTCTGGTTGTCAGTCTGAAGTGGCCTTTCCAGGGCACAAAGCCAGGGTAGGTTGATACAGAGAAGCTGTTACCCAAGCAGCAGGTTCTCCCTCTCCACAGCGCCGAAGTCTCCAATGGAAAGGCAAAAGCCAATACGATTGGAGACTTTCGACGCTATTGCTCTTGAGCAATAACATAAGAGAGAAAACAGTATTTATATAAAGACTATGATCTTTGTCAAATGCTGATATGCAATGAACTTCAGCTAACAAAACAACAGCTTACAACTGTCTAGTGAAAACAAAGCCTTAAAATTGACTCATGTCCTTGAGATCACAAATACAGCACTTTAGTCAATAGAAGACTTGTGTATGTATGTACCTGTATTTGGTATAAAAGCAGCAGTTGAAACATGGTTTCCTATTGTTAGGGGTAGGAAGCCTGCAAAGCTTAATGAAGTCCCCCCTAGGCCAGAGACTGACCTTCCCCAAGATGCAACCCACATCTGCCTAACTCCTAGGTACCCTTTTACTACAAGGTTAAGAGAGGCCTCACAGTGCAAGGAAACGTACCTAAACATCTGTCCAGGAATCCCACCCTGGACACTTGAGTTGTCAACTATCTACACTGACAAAGATCCAAGAAATGAAAGAATAAAAGAAGAAAAGCTGAAAATGTTAATGATCTTGGAACATGAGAATATAAACAAATAATATAGACAAAGTTCACAGTGATATAAGGAAGGGACAAGAACACCTGATAAAAGTGGAATGAAATGGAGGAAGCTAATTATATTGATCTACTGGCTATTCATGCCCGTGCCACCTCTTGGTTGGCTTAATCTTCATCAATCAATCATTACAGTATATTGATTATGTGATGATAGACGATGTAAAAGTAGTATGAAAGATACAAAAGCCATGAGAGCTACATTTGTGGGGTCAGATTATCACAAAGTGCTGTGTATAATTAAGTTTATTGAAAGCTGGGTGTTAGGATCACAAAGTATTGGAAGTGTCTAAATATAAAGATGTTAGAGATAATGGAATAAAGTCTAAAATTTAAAGAAAATATAGGTAAAATATTATGATGGGGAAATAATTGACAATGTGAATACAAACTGGGTATACATAAGGGATGAAACCATAGAAGACGTGTATGGTTTTAAGTTGGAGGAGGATGCCCAAACTTCCCAACCAGCTCGGCAATCAAACCCAGGACCATTTGATCTTGAGCTGACTGCACTGATCATTGTTTTCTATCTACTCCAAGCTCATACTTCCCCACACCATGAAAAAGAATAATAGTGGTGATGATTAAATATCAAAATCTCAATTTTATTTTGTTTCTCCTTTTTCAACAGTACAGTAACTGTTATTATTAAAATAATAGATATTAAAATATATTTAATATCCTGAACATTTTTGACAATATACATTAATCACATACAAATTACATTCAAATGGCACTTACAAACATAAAAGTTGAAGACTCACGAAATCATATTTTACATTAAATTTTGAACAATTGATAAGATGCTTTAAGACAGAGTACATCAAGTTACCATTATTTACAGCATGTGGAATTTACTCTTATGTTAACATCATAACCAACTTGATTAAAAGAATAACATAAATACCACCAGGTCAGTACTAAAGCAGTAAAGCATCTACTGAAGATGGGGGTCGTTCCCAGAACCAGCTTAAGATGGGTATTGTACCCGAGGGAATTAAGGGGGCAGCACTCCAAAGGACCACCACAAAGCAGGTACAGTACTCTACTTACAGCTTACTTTTTATTTAAGATATGCTACAGTTGTCACATGCATGAGATAATACTGAACCTGTTTAAACTGTTCCCTTTGATGAGAACAAAACATTGCCAGGTAGCCCCTGACAAAGTGTACAGTTCTGCTAAGAAAATTCTTTTTAAATTATATTTTCTATGATTATTTTTGTCAGATTTCATGAAGAGTGACAGACACTTTCACTAAAGTGCTCTGGCTCACATTACAAACACACTGATGTATTAAATACTCTGATGTTAAAAACTATTTGTTTTACATCATTAATATGACTATATTTTATCAGTTTAATTACTTTTTATTCCATTCATACTACACTGCATTATAAAATGCAACTAAACTTATATATGTGGATGAATGTCAAACCTACCACCCACAGCTTAATTTGCTTTCTATGACAACATTCTTAGAGTTTTGCAGGTACTGTATACTCTCTAAAACCAAGTATTTACTCTAAATTTAAAAAAAATCTTCTTCCCAGTTGTTTAAAAAATAGACATTTTTTAAACAACTGGCTCATACACACACTGGCTTAGAAACAAAAGCCTGCTCCATAGCTTAAAGTGATACAGTATATAAAAGTGAAAAGATAGAATGGGTTCTCAGAATGTGATATCAATATTGTAAACACAAGTAAAATTAAACTGTGTGTAGTTGGTGGGAGGAGAAAACCTTCATGAAAACTGCACATATCAAGGAAGAGAAGAAGAGATGTTGATACAAAAAAGTTGCACAAGTTTTTTAGTTTTACCATAGGCAGTCAGAATGCCTGTTAGGCCTAAGAAGCTCCCCATAGGCCAGTGACTTGATTTAACCGAGAATGCAACCCACAACCGTTTCCTAGCTCTCAAGAACACACAGTATTTACTGCCAGGTGAACAGAAGCATCAGGAGGAGGAACATCATCTCTGTTACCAAAATGTAAACAAAGAGTCTGACCAATGAAAAGGCTTTATCATCAATACAAAGAGCACGTCTAATTAAAAAGTAAGAATTTTTTTACTTTCCTTAATCAATGAGTTGTTAATATTTTCAGACTTGACCCTAACTCTTACTGGTTCTACCTCACAATTCTGGACTTGCTATGCTACTGAATATTCATTAAAATACAACAATATTTTAAAGATTTAACCACAAAGCCATTTTAAAATGCATTTCTAATCAAATGGCTAATATCTCAATAGGCATATATTGGTACAAATAATTAAGTTTAAGACCAGCATTGAGCACATAACACAGGGGTGAAGAATACTTAGTTTAGCCAAAGATGTTGCGCAGGTCTTCAGCTTTAAACTCTCAGTAATATCTTCACACAATGACAACTCACTATTTTACATAATAATTTTATGTTAAAATATATCAGCCCTAACAGGCAAAAGTATTACAATGTAATAATACAAGGCACAAAGTCTAAAAATTAACAAATATACATCAACATGATTTTGTATTTCAATCCATGCAGACATAAGAACTCTACAGAACCAATGCAATTATAAAAATACCCAAAACTCTGTGGTACAGTACTAGTATAGTCATGAATGGAAACATGTTGATAAAACATCATGGATGAAGCCATGGCATAATCTATCATTGCTCAATATTGCACAAAAGTAATAAATATTCCACTGAACTAAATAATATATATATATATATATATATATATATATATATATATATATATATATATATATTTTATTTATTTATTTATTTTTTGACCAATCCACACACTAGAAAATGAAGGGATGACGACGTTTCGGTCCATCCTGGACCATTCTCAAGTCGATTGTCGACATAGGGCACACTAATACAGTACTAAAATACAGTACAGTATCACAGGAAAGAAATGTACAGCAACTTACAGCACTATGTTTGGCATGTATGTTAACAGCCAAAAAAGGTCACTTCAGCAGTAAACAGCATATTAACTGAAAAGTCAACTGAAAGTCTGTAAACCATGTTTCACTGAATCATACAGATTTTAATTTTTTTTTAACAAATATACAGTACTATTTGCACTAAATTTTCTTAAGCATAAAAAAATATACAACAATGATGTGCAAAGTGAAATAATCTTATTTGGAACTTCAGTGTTATCAAAATACTGTATATTAAAGATCCCCCTTGTAAAGCTTAAGCAATTTTCAGAGCCAAAAGTATCAGCAGAGATTAATAATGAGTTTATTTTACAGTACTCTACATGATAAATATGATCTTTTTATATACAGTACTATATTACTATATATTGTGTAATTACCTAAGTGTACTTACAGGATGAGAGCTACGCTCGTGGTGTCCTGTCTTCCCAGAACTCTGTCATATAACACTTTGAAATTACCAACGGTTTTGATCTCCACCACCTTCTCACCTAACCTGTTCCAACTGTCTACCACTCTGTTTGTGAAAGTGAATTTTCTCATATTTCTTCGGCATCTTTGTTTAGCTAGTTTAAATCTATGAACTCTTGTCCTTGAAGTTCCAGGTCTCAGGAATTCTTCCCTATCAATTTTATAAATTCCTGTTACTCTGTTGTACATAGTGATCATATTGCCTCTTTTTCTTCTATCTTCTAGTTTTGGCATATTTAATACCTATAACCTCTCCTCGTAGCTCTTGTTCTTCAGTTCTGGGAGCCACTTAGTGGCATGTCTTTGCACCTTTTCCAGTTTGTTGATGTGCTTCTTCAGATATGGGCACCATACAACCACTGCATATTCCAGCTTTGGTCTAACAAAAGGCGTGAACAATTTCTTTAATATTCTGCCATCCAGGTATTTAAAAGCAATTCTGAAGTTAGAAAGTGTAGTATAGGCCTCTTGCACAATGTTCTTTATGTGATCCTCAGGTGATAGTTTTCTGTCCAGAACACCCCAAGATCCCTTTCTTTTTTTTTATCAGAATTCTTTAAAGATTTCTCACATTATTTATAAGTTGTGGGGGGTTTGTGTTCTCCTATTCCACATTCCATAATGTGGCATTTATTTACATTAAATTCCATTTGACAAGTAGTGCTCCACATATGTATTTTGTCCAGGTCTTCTTGAAGGGCATGACAATCATCTAAGTTAATGATCTTCCCTATTATCTTATCTTATCTGCAAACATGTACATATAATTCTGCATTCCATCTGGCAGATCGTTTATGTACTGTTTATGGTGTAGGGGTCTAGAGTACTGGCTGTGTCAATGGTGCGAACATCTGGCATTCCAAGGTTTGAGTCCTTCACAGGGGTTGAGTCTGTCATGTATTTATTTACGTAAAAAATTTCAATTTTTTTTAAAGATTCATACAAACCATATTTTTGTTCTTATTTTATACACATAATACAGACAAGAAGAAGTTAATAGTGGATATACACCGTACTGTGTAGTTATTAGCTCTACCACTTTACCGGTGAACTTGGAGAAAACGGGTGCACTAAATATAGTTTCGCAAGCTAAAATAATCTGAAATCTATTTTCTAAAATGCAGAGAATACAAAACATTTCTTAAGTAATATTATCCTTTCCTCTGAAATTTACTCAGCCCATAATTGCTGTACTGTACACACATTTAATCGTTATAAATTCATGCTCACTAAATTCCATAAAGTACATATTAAATGCTCTCTCATTAGCAATAATGTATAGAAAGCTGCAATTTCAATATTAATAATTTAACAGAACACTTAATCTATGTTGCCCTGAGCTTGGCCAGAGAGTCTTCAAGCTCTTGATCTGTCATAACGTGAGCTCGACTCGTCTCTCCCAGGCGATCTGTCCGGGCCATGGGTGCTCCTGCCACCTGTATAATCACCAACATGTCAGAGATCATTAACATTATTGTGCTTAATCCCCCTTTAATTCTATTCCAAGCCTTTTCCTTCCAATTCTATGTCCTATACACAATTTATGCCCAAAATGCTGAGAGTAACTGGTGGCTTTATATAATAAAACAATGACTATCTGCTTTGAAACAACTTAAAATTTTACAAAATATTGTCCATTGGACGAATAAAATATTACAGTACCATATTATTGTCATTGTTGTTATTATTATTATTATTATTTACACCATGAAATCTCACTAATGTGATATGTATCAATGAGAAAATCCACTGGAACTTTGAGGCGATTCAAGCCTCGACCAAGGCGCTCCCAGCCGCTCACCCAACCACTGTTGCCTCAGAGCTCCAGTTGATTTTCTCATTACTATTCTTAAGCCCCAAGTTTTTTTTATACTTTGGAACCTTTTACATTTTACTTTACTTAAAAAGTTTACTTTTTTTATACTTTTTATATTTTAGAACCACTCTCCATTTACTACACACAATTCACAGAGGATGGCAAGTTTTCCAGCAACACCACCTGTGACTAGTTTCTGTTTATTCATTTTGTTGTAATCTTTTATTCTTAACACATAAAATGCATGAATTATACTTACCCGTATTTACCCGTGGGCCGCTAATACTAGTGGCCTCAACGAGGTCACAAAGATGCCGGCTTGTCAAATGTCCCCCCATTTGCCCTGATGATCTTTTCCAGTTGTATTTCAAAACCCAACAGTTTTTTGGCATTTACAAGATTTTAGAAACAAGATTGTTTAGAAGCAAGATACAGGGATACACATGCAGACTTACCTTAGTACCAATTTCAATGCCAATTTCATCCAGGACTTGGTTAACAATTGCATCACTTTCTTCCTCATCTCCACTCTCATTTAGGATGTCATCGAGGGTGTCATTCACTAATGAAAAACAAAAATGGATTTAATACAAATCTAATGTAATGTAAACTCTTCACAAGTATAGATCCAAGTCTAATTATTCTAACAGTACTACCAAATCATCATATATAGTACTATATAGTACTGTTTTATCTTAACTGGCTATATAAAAAACTAATTGTTTTCAAGTTAAATGTCTGATAATTAGAAAAGAATTTAGAACAATTTTATTAAACTAGGTTCACATCAATGTAAACCTATGCCGTACATCCTAGCAATGGGACAAAATGTACAGTTTGAAGACGACAGCACCGCACGACATTATACAAGCACAGTGATGTGAAGTCTTCAATAACAACTAGGCCACCATAAATGATACTTACTGATTTCCTCACCCATGTTCAACTTAGCAGAGGCCTGCTCAAAATCCCTCATAGTCTTGGCAACATCCTCTGGTTTCATGATTTGGTTCATGTTAACCATAGTTTTTGTGGCAGTGCCCATGGCACCGGCAAGCTTGACATTAGCCTGCAATGATTTTTGCTGAGCTGCAACTGATGATATCTGTAAAAATCAATAATAACAGTAATGTTTAGCAATAAATATTTCTTACTACTGAAAGTTATTACACCTCTAACACTTATATTGCATATACAGTAGTAGGCATCCATCAGTCTCAATGTGTTGGAGGGTCACCTCAGTAGCTACTTGAGCTCTCAATGAAACCTTGGCAGAGAAAGTGGCTTTCGTTTATGATAATCAAAAGTTTAAGAAAACAGAAAAGACAGACTGGGCTGACCCATAGAGGAAAGACCACAGAGGAAGAGGGCTTGGGGCAGAGCAACATCAGCTTCATGCCAAGCAACACACAATTGCAACAAGACAAGAACATCCCCAAAGTAGCAAGAGGCCAACACTTGGTGGGACTGCTTGAAGCCCCAAAGCCAGATATTCCCTGTTGACACATTTCCAAAAACCGCAGAAGAAATTGCCCCAATAGTAACTCACTAGCATAAGCCCAGATCTACAAACTGAAGAGATGTGAGCCGGAAGTAATAAAGGAAGCTGGGAATCCAAACTGCTGTCCAAGGGTCAAAGTAGGAAAAACATGCACACACAAAATCATCTGAGAGACAAACAAGGTTTTTTCCTGGAGATCAAGGGTATGTGCCTTCTGATTCATAACACTTAAGATAAACCCTACACAAGATGAAGACACTGAACGAAGTGGAGGAGCCATTACAACCACACTAACAGAAAATATGGTAAACAAATCTACATAAAGCACTGGAAATTGGAATTTCCACAGTGAGCATAACTTCAGTCAGAAGAACTTAGAAAGAACAGAAGAAAGACTGACCAATAGCACACACACATCTATATGCCACCAACATGTCAATGGCTGGTTACTTAAAACTGAAATAGTATAAATAATCAGGAATCTGTCTAACCCTACTGTTTGCAGCATATGTTCTTGTCTTTTGCTTTCTAATGTTAACTAGCTGCTTGGCCAATAGTGCAATGGCCTCCTTGTTGCCTGGTGACTTTGCTAATCTCTTGATGTCATTTTCCAATTTTTTCTCTTCTCTCTCCAATTCACGTCGATCTCGTTCCACATCTCGACCAGCTTTGCGCAGCTGTCTGTCATTAGCCCTCATCTGATCTGTAAAATTTAACATTCATATAAAAACAATATACAAAAAATAAGGTGTCAAGTACATTACAGTACCGTACAGTACTGTATTACGAAATATTCCTTTCCGAGCAGCCCCTTGGTTGCTCCTCAAGCCAGGGTCAAGGTTCACCAGGATACTGCACTCACATCAGGCTCTTATTGACCAGTACTGTATGGGAACAACAACATTTCAAATGAACTAGCAGTCCTTATGGTGCAGTGGTAAAACAGTCACCTGGCATTTTGCGAGCAATTTGACCTGGGTTCATATCCTGGCTAGGGAGGATTGAATAAGTGTCAATCCTTAACTGTCTGCCTCTGTTCATCCAGCAGTGAGTGGGTACCTGGTTGATAAACGATTTGACGGGTTGTATTCCAGGGAAAATTAGGATTAAGGACCTGCCTAAATGCTATGCATTTGAGGAACTGCCTGAAACATTTCATAGGTCAATAGAGGCCAATTTGAAACTTTTTTTTCAAGAGCTGTGTAGATTAAATCAAGCAAACTAATAGTGGTATCATTGGCACACTTGGGGATCTGCAGCCAAACTGGCTGGAACCTAGTATGTAAATTATTTTACAAGATAGGAGTAAAGCTGTTTGTAAATAATAATTACAAATATTTGTTATAATACTGGCAGGTTTGATACTGGTCTATAATTGTATATATCAGCTGTATCTCTTCATTTATGAACTGGAGTTACTCTTGCTCTTTAGTACGGTATATCAGGAAATGTTTAAAACTCAAAAGTTTTGTTGAAAAGTAGAGGTATGGCTGGTGTAAGGACACGACCACCACTTTGGTATATCATAGGTGGTACGTACTGTATTTCATCAATGTTACCAGCTATGATTTTAAGTGATTGAATTATGGATATTATGTCTGATAAACTGATTGGCAAAATGTGTAGAGCTAGGTTAATTACTGGTGAGATACATAATAATGTGTGTTTGGGTCTCTGGGATATTTCTAGCAAAATTAACACCAATTAATGGAAAAAAATTAAATTCAGTTACAGTTTCCAATCCACTGATAATATATACCACCTTTGCAGAGTGTAATCTGTTTACTGTATTATACGTAAGGTATTAGGATCCTAAGATATTTGCGATGATTTTTCCATGTGGTTTTCCCATTTTTTTTTTTACTTATTGATATATACAAGAGTTTTTACATTCTTGTAAAGCCACTAGCACGCGTAGCATTTCGGGCAGGTCCTTAATCCTAATTTCCCCGGAATACGACCCGCCGAATTGTTTAACAACCAGGTACTCATTCACTGCTGGGTGAACAGAGGTTACAGTTAAGGACTGGCACCCAGTCAATCCTCCCCGGCCATGATTCAAACCCAAGCCATAGTGCTTGCGAAACGCCAAGTGAGTGTCTTACCACTATGCCATGGAGACTTCTTTAAATCCGTTTTCAAAATAAGACAGTTTAGCTCGTCTTATTATACTGCCAAGTGTCGAGTATTAATTTTACTAGTTCTTCCATAACTTGGCCAATCCTAGGTTTTTTCATATTCATGTTACCTGTCAATTGCTTTCTGTGTGCAACTTGTAAGCCAGTGGTTGTTTAATCTTTTGCAGTTCCTTGTAACTCTTAACTGTTATATCAAAACATTTTGCTATAATGTAGCATGTAGAGTAAGAAACTAATTCGATATACGGTATATTAACTTTACATTCAGGTAATGTTGAATATTTATATATTATAAACTTATAAGAAAACATTGAAATATCGTCACGGAGCCAGACTCTCGTGTTCCCCGAGCACGACACAGGTGACAACCATGTCCGTCTACCTTTAGGGTTGGGTTTCTTGAACATGTTGGCTGGGTGAAGAGCAGTATAAGGCTGAAAGAAGAGAGAGACGAGGGGCCAGAGGGAGCGTCGCCTGCGTCAGTGTCAGCTGCTCGTCTCATGTCAACACCTCAGGGGGCACCTGCATAAACAATATATGAATAGCATTGTTTGAATTATGGTCGATAAGAAGATTGTATGTGATTCAGTGTCATAATTATATCTGTTATTAATTTTATGTTAAGTTAACTTGCTATTATGTTTGTCTTTTAATAAATGTTTTTATGTATTTTCGAGTTAGGTGAAGTTGTTAACAAAATGAAATTGATAAAATGATTTACAATTCTCATAGGTAATTATTTACATTTGTCCTTTTGTTAATGACATACTAAATTAAAGGCAGAGAGGTATGGTGGATGATAATTCAATGTGGATAGTTTGTGTTGTGTTGTGGTGATCGAGTCATCGTGGTGACGGTGGTTGTCGTCCTCGTCCTCGTCCTCGTCGTCATGAGTCGTGAGAGTGTGGTCAAGAGCGTCGTCTCTACCTACGAGTTACTAAAGAATGAGTGGTCCAAGAAGAACCGCAATCTGGAGACATGCGGCAAATTCCTGTCTGACATTAAGGTGAGCGAGTCGACCCACAAAAATTTCTGCCAAATCCTCCGCAGGTCTTCGCCCATAGCTCGATTTTAATTGTTAGTGTTCTCTTAAATATCGTTTGTTTAGGCTGTGTTGAATTGTATCAAAGCCCCCCCCCCCCCGAAGCATGAACTACAGACCCTCCCCAGGATACAATCCCTCACAACAGGCTGACCAACTCCTGGGTACCTAAATATTTTTTTTTAATGCCCCGAGGGACGAATGAATTGGGCAGCGTCACTCGTCTTGTGAGTGGACATACCGCCATAGCAGCATGTACAACACTCGCCAATAGGAAGAAAAATAGGTTGTTCATCCTGTCACTTGTACCCGGACACAGCTGGGACTTGCTTAACTGTCTCCAGTGAACAGGTCCTCAAACTAGAAGATTAACATGTCAACCCATAAAATATTACGTTATCTTGCGGGTGCAAAATGGGGAAATCTTTTAAGGTTCTGGGTACCTATTTACTGTTAGAACAGAGACATTAGGTGATAGGAAATGTGCCCAAGCATTTCTGGCCTCCCTGGGATTCAAACCTGGAATTCCCGATTGTGAGTCGAGAACGAAGCCAACTGTACTTTATCTAATGTTTACACTTCTGTTTATGAAGACTTAATCAAGGTTGGAGTAATTTTTTAAATTATTTTTTTTACAACTCTCCAACCAATGCTTAAACTTTAATTACAGCCCATTTTTCTAGGTGGAACTAACGAAGCTTCAGTTCTTGCCATCAATGGGCCATAGTGTATCCAAGGAAGAGCTGCTTGTAGCTAGTAAGTACTGTACACCTTTTTCTTGTTTTGTGTTGTTGGAGATATTAGTTAACCCTCGGTTGTTTTGGTGTGTTATTATAAGATAGACTATTCATGGTTTTCCATGTTTATTGGTATATGTAATGGATTAGTATTGGCATGGACATTTGTACAGACATTAAGTAGAGTTTTGGGTAAAATAAAAAAATGCAATACAATTAGTGTCAAAAATTAATTAAAAATGTTCAATAATATAATATACTTTATACAGTAAGTCTTTGCTTTACTATGAGTTTAGAGAGTGCAAAGTTTATACTACATGAGGTAGGCCTTGCCAAGATTTGATTAGGTAAATTATGCATCATTCTAATAACAGATGGCAGAATTGTTTTCTTCTTTCATGCTTTTGGTTAGTCAAAATTACTTGCAACAATTTATCATTATGGCCAGTTACTAGTCCAAATGCATCTTGATAACCTGTATACATGTTACCAAGATCCTTAAATTTAAATGCTCTGGTATGTTCTGATTAAATAGTAAATTTGCCTATATAAAATGTATATACATTTTTAATCATTGAATAAAGAAACGACTTGGAATGTATTATTGAGAGATTAACACAAAGTTAGTGCCAAAGTTCTTTACAAAGGTGTTGTATTTGTTGACATGTATGGTAAGTGTTCAGTTATGTAACCATTGTGACTGTTTTGTGTGTGTTTTATTTATGTGCATGTTTCCATGTTTGGTATTTTGACATTGCAGATCCTTTTAGCATTTACTTCTTTCAGGAAACACACTTGAGATTGGAGCACAATGGAGCATCGCAAATAAGAATATTCCATTTTTTGAGCGATATATTGCCATGCTTAAGATATATTATATGGACTACAGGTTAGTACCCTTGTGATGCAGTTTGTTCATTGATAGAATTAGAAAAAGCTGTTGTTGTTTCATCATACATAGTGCTGAAAGTGATTTTAGAGCCCAGCTTCCCTATTACAATGTTCCTTTGCATAAGCTACAACATCAAAATTAAACCTAATATTATAAGTGTCCTATCAGTTAGGCCACTACAGTACGTATACTAATGATATTTTGTTACTTTATAAAAAAAATTAAATTACAAATTATATTAAAAATTAAAATCGACAAAATAGAATAAAGTTTTTGTGAAGACCAGTATCCCATTATTGTTAGGCCTACATTTGTTGGGCAAACAATTTTGTTGTTGTTTACATGCATTTTACATGCAATCTGGATAATGATTGGTTTGGAAATAAGGTTGATGATGATTAGAAAAAGTTACTTGGTAACATAAGACATGGGATATCTTAATTGTTTCATGTGAGGGTTGGATCTTGCTTGCTTGACACTTCATCATCATAACATTTACATGGTAAAATTTAGTCCAAATACCTATCAAAAATATTGTATTTGCATCTTTTTTTATATTATGACACAAAGTATTAATCTGTTGCCCCACCTATACAGGGAACAACTTCCAGAATCCCCATACATGTACGAATTGCTTGGATTAGACTTGCTATGTTTGCTGGCCCAGAACAAAGTTGGAGAATTTCACACCACTCTTGAGCACCTGCCCCCTCCAGCTGTCACTGACAATGTGTACATTCGCCACCCAGTTGCAATGGAGCAGTATCTTATGGAGGGAGCTTACAATAAGGTATAGTATTTATTTATAAGGTGTTAGGTGTTGAGCATTAGGCAATTAGTTTTTGAGATGTGCCATAAACTTTTATAGAAGATGTAGACTAGGTTGACTTGTCCACCTATGCATTCTTTATTTACTGTCTGCTGTGCAGACAGCGGTGTGGCAGCGGTTGTGACATCAAACAAGCATGATGTCTCAAGTATCAAATTCAATAACAAGTAAATTCCGTGACAAGTATGTCATGCAATTCATTTTCCGCATGCACGTATGTGCGAAAATTGTACTGCTACTGCTTGTCAGTGTATCAAGTTAATAATTTTTGACTGGTGAATCCCAGAACTATGGAATAGGCTGCTGAAACTTGTGGGGGAATGTTGTTATATGCATGATAATGGTTCTGGCACAAAATTGTGCCAGATAAACAAAATGCAGCTGAACTAAAATCTGAATGACACTTGCCATATAATAACAAATTGGAATCACTTTGTTGACAAGCAATAGCTGCTAAGGTATGTCTATAGTAAATAATTATGAATTATGTCTGCAAATATTTCCTAATGAGAGAAAGTTAAGAAACTAGGGAAAACAGGTGTTAATAAAAATGCCATTGTTGATAAATTATGGCTTGTACTACTTTCTACACAGAAACCAATGTGATAGAAAAAGGGGCAAAGTGTTTACCATTACTTTATCTTCACCTTCTCAAACAAAAAATGTTCTAAACTGTTTAAGATTACTTTTAATCATACAGTATTTCACATTTTTTGCTTTCCAATACCAAGTTCAGACACAGCATAATTAGTCAACTGATGTTTTGTCATACTCCCTTACAGTTCATGTCCAGTGCAGATTTTCTTTCAAAACGTAACTTTTGTATTTAACATTTTAGTGTGCATTTTTTCCAGAAGCTGAATCCGCTCTTCCCAGTTTTAATTTCCCAGTTTTAATTTCCCAGTTTTAATTTCCAAAAACTCTATTTTATTTGTAATGTCAACAGATCTATTTGGCAAAGGGAGAGGTTCCTGCAGAAGGATATAAATTCTTCATAGAGGAATTATTAGCCACCATTCGTGAAGATATTGCTGACTGTGTTGAGAATGCCTACGACAGAATCAGACCCGAAGACATTGGGAAAATGTTGTATCTGTCTAGCACTAAGGAAATCCTCCAGTATTGTGAGCAGGTATGTATCAGTTTTCATAGGACATGAAATATATTTATGTATATGTATGAATATGTACACTTGCTAGTTCCCTGTTCCTATTTATGTAAAGTATGGTATATACTATATTGGTGTATACTGGCAGCAGGTTTTCTTTCAAACATGTTTCATTGAATATGACCGCATATTCTGTATTTATTATTTTCTGGTTTAGGGCTTCTATCCCTCTATTTTCTTAGCATCAGGGCTTAATTGGAATAGGAGTTCTCCAAAACTCATTTTCGTACTTTTAAGGTGAAGAAAAGAAGTGATTTACTATAGAGTGTATTACACTTATTTGTATAATTTGCACGACGTTTCGAACCTCCATGGTTCATTCTCAAGTGAACAGATCTTACAATACTAGTTGATTTTATACCCGCATTAGGTCAGGTGATAATACAATGAAGGTGAAAAACATGGGGGGATACATAAGGGATAAACATAGGGGCTGCAGAAGGCTTATTGGCCCATACGAAGCATCTCCTATCTAAACACAAAGATTAATCCAGTGTAATTGGCCTGTTATGTTGGACATTGTTTTCTGTGTTGGCATCGATATGTTCTTGTCTTGTCCTTACTCTCATGGTGGGTAGAGTAAATAGTTCCGTGATTTGGGTGTTCATGGTAGGTCGCTCTATTCTTATGTGAATTGCAATTCACATAAGAATAGAGCGACCTACCATGAACACCCAAATCACGGAACTATTTACTCTACCCACCATGAGAGTAAGGACAAGACAAGAACATATCGATGCCAACACAGAAAACAATGTCCAACATAACAGGCCAATTACACTGGATTAATCTTTGTGTTTAGATAGGAGATGCTTCGTATGGGCCAATAAGCCTTCTGCAGCCCCTATGTTTATCCCTTATGTATCCCCCCATGTTTTTCACCTTCATTGTATTATCACCTGACCTAATGCGGGTATAAAATCAACTAGTATTGTAAGATCTGTTCACTTGAGAATGAACCATGGAGGTTCGAAACGTCGTGCAAATTATACAAATAAGTGTAATACACTCTATAGTAAATCACTTCTTTTCTTCACCTTAAAAGTACGAAAATGAGTTTTGGAGAACTCCTATTCCAATTAAGCCCTGATGCTAAGAAAATAGTTAGAGGGATAGAAGCCCTAAACCAGAAAATAATAAATACAGAATATGCGGTCATATTCAATGAAATATATACTATATGTGCATGTTTGTGTCATAAAAAATTTTCTCTTCAAATTTTCCAACTTTAAAATATTAAACAATAACTCATTAAGGAACATTAAAAAACTTTGTTGAGGCATTCTGCATGATGGGATCCATTTTCAACAATGCAGTTGAAAATGGATCAGACCAGCAGATGTCACAATTGTGTGTTGTCTCCTGTACTTAGACCATCAGTGGGAAGAAGGGGAACTTCTTTTACTTGAAGCATAGCACTAGTGGTGCCTCTTTTGATGAATTAGGCCAACCACTTTACTACCAACTTTCTCTTTCTCCTACTTATCCTTGGGTGAATCAAAAGTTAATTTCATCAGTAATGCATTTAAGTTGTGTAACTCCACATTTGTCATTTGCAGCGTGGGTGGCAGGTGGGGGGTGATGGATACTTGCACTTCAAGAAGGAGGTGAGGAAGAGTGATGACAGCATCCCTTCCAAAGAACTAGCTCACCAGATGATTAATTATGCTCGAGAGATGGAACAAATTGTATAATATTACAGTACGGTACTTAAAATTCATCTTTGTCACACATTTGTAAATTTTCCCTTTTACTTGTTTTCATAGGATATTTTATTAAATCTTAGCTATTCATAATTTATCAGCGATGTGTTTCCAATACAGTACTTTCATTCTCTTTAGTTTCAGATACATTTTTTAATTCAAATTTGTAAGTGCTTTTGTCACGTGCAACTCTCACTGTACGGTATACTGAATTTGTAATAAAATTGTAGAACTCTTAAGGGCTCTTATTAACTTCTGTCAAAAATAGAGAGTTTATGTATTTAGTAACTGAATCTTGAACGGTACTGTTTTTAGTCGAGAGAAACCATTTCACAACTTGCTTCTTGTATACAATAATTAGCCAAACAATAAAATTAGTATATCTGTCACTAAATTCTGGGACATAACTTACAGCACAGCCTTAGATAAGGTAACATTAGTTCTTCTGATAGGGATACCTTTACAGTTTTTTGCTTTTTCTTTTGACAGGTTTTCATTTAAAATCTGAACTTGTCATACTGTATTGTTGAGAAATTAAAATGTTTTGGTGTATGCAAAATTACCGCTGGTTCTCTAGAATATCTTGAGATTGGCAACGTGAAATTTATAGCAATGACGAATTATCATAAAACTTGGGTTCCTTTTGTTACTGGGCAATGTGACCATACCAATGCCCCCCCCCCCTTTTTTTTCTCGGGAATTACCGATGCATATATCTTCATCTTTTTTGAACTGCAGTTCTGTTGAATACTATTTTTCATATACTGTATACAACAAAGTATTTTTAACACTTTAATATTTTGTATTTTTCTCATTGATTTTGAGGCTCTTCACACTAAAATATAATGATGGCTTCAGTGAAGTTGTGGAGAAATACCCGATTTCACTTAACACTTTCGCGCCCCCTTCGATGGTAAAAAAAAAAAACGGTATGTGCGGGGAGCGTTTTTGCTGAGTAAGCGTAAAAACAAAAATATGTATACTCTTTTTACTCTCCTTACCTTAGTTCTTGAGCTACGTATTTCATTTTGGTACCAACGTGTTCGCAATAAAATTCTCTAGAAGAACATCAGTAAAAAAAGTCACGAAACGTATAGGGATACCAGCACCAAATAAATAACTACGAAGATGACTCGCTGTGAGCGCCCAACAGCAACAGAATGTTTTTACTCTTGGGATTGTTATCACCTCCACACTTGTCCTACAGCGTTAATTTTGGTATCAATGGACTCGCAATGAAATTCCCAACACGGTGATATGAATATAAGCGTAGAATAATGATTGCGGCCCGCCCGCAAGAGTGTGGGAAGTGGTGAAAATGTTACCCGGTATCGGTGACGGGACGACGCACGGCGCTTTGAAAGTTTATACTTATTTCACTCTCATGACATTAATTTTCTATGTACGTCATTCATTTTTGTGTCAATGTGTTCGCAATAGAATGTTCTATGAGCCCGTAGGTAAAAAAGATCAACAAAGCGTAAGATAAAATAGCGCCAAATATAAAACAACGCTGGAACATATCAGTGAGCGTCAAACACACACGAAATGTTTTTACTTTTGTTATGTTTGTCAAGTTTATACTTGTTGCACACAGTTATTTTTGGTTGTACATTGATCGGAATAAAATTCCCTAAACAGACATATGAATATAATACATGATATGGGGGAAGCATTACCAGTATGAACGGCTAAAGTCACCCACCTGCAACCCGTTTGGGACATAATACCATTTGATCGAAGTGATCCACACCTTTCATGAACTTATTGTACCATGCAGCCTAGTGGTAAGAAAGAGAGCCTCATGGCGCGCAGTTTGAAACAAACCCAAAGTAAATCGGATAAAAATTGAATTTTATACAAATATTTTAAAAGAGGACATATCTTTATGTCCACTATGCGGGAGCGGTTAGCGAAACAGGACTCCTCGGTGAGTCCGGTTAGCGCGAAAGTGTTAAATTAATTACCCGGGAAGTGGGCATTTTTGCTGGTGGATGAATTTGTTGACCATCCAGTTCTCTTGGTCTGGTTTGGTGGTGCACTAGCAATGATTTACCCAAGTTTTACACAACTTTCACCAATTCTTGGGTATGTGCCAGGTCATGCCTATGCAGAATTTTTGTGGCTGTAAATTTGTTTGTTCATTTTATTCTGGCCACAGTTCTTGCCTGTCCGTGGCTTGTGTTTTTGACAGTTGGGTTAGGATTTTTCTCGAACTCCTGCCCAGTCTGTCGGACCTACTTTCATACACTATTGTGGTCCTGGTTCCTTAAGTTGAGCTACAGCCTTTGCTTGGATATCTCTAGTACTTTTGTGATCTTGCAGTAGCCTGTACTTTAGAGGCAGCCATATGATTCTGGTCATTTACAGGCAGGTTGGCCCAAGCTTTCTGCTTATTCTTGGTCGGTTCATAATTTCAACTGCTTCCCATTTAATTTGTGGTCAAGTGTTGAGCTGTGCACGTTACAATTAAATAGCCATAAATTTCTTTTCATTCCAAGTCAGTAGTACACCTATTGTCACTCTTCTTGGGACTATCACTGTATCCACGATTCGTAGACTATGCTTTACCAAGGTGCGTGTACTGGTAACAAGATCAAAATTTTCATCTTTGTCTCCCAGCTATTGCACCTGGTTCTTATTCTAATTTTCTCATTGGCAGTTCTTGTGGCTGACATGTTATTATTATAGTACTGTATTTTGCTAAGTACTGTACAGGCTTCATCTCTTGCCTTTAGCTTTTGTTTATAGTGTTTGGGTAAGGTTAGCCTAGAGTTCCTGCCTTGACTTCCTGACCTCGTCTTCCATCCATTGTTGCTTGTAAAACAGAAGTCCTGGTGACTTGGCTTTAACTCTAGTGGTTGCTTGGCTGCCCAAGTTTTTCTGGCTCAGCACTGGGATATTCTGTGAGTCTCCAAACATGGCCAGACCAGTTACTCGGTTACATAATGTGCCCGGTTGGTATGTAAGAATTGTATGCCCTATAGAAGTTGACTGCAGAGCATTGTATATTAGTTAGGGTGGTGTTCTTGGGGTAAATCAATAACATTGTATTATTTGCATACAATTTTGTTTTACAGTAATATCTTTATTTATTTTTAATATCTATACCAAATTCATTGCTGCACCTTCTTAAACTCGTGGAGTACTTTATCAAACTTAGCTCATTGCTGTTTATTAAAATGGGAACACATTGCAGCATTTTATGAACACAATCCTACAGTATTTGTTCAGAAAAAAAAAAAATTTATATTGATGTATTTAATGGTCATATCATCGAAAATAAATGGCCACAGACCAACCAATGGCCACAAAGCCACAGACCAACCAATGACCACAATTGGATCAATCAATGGGGGGTACAATCAGACCAATCAATAGGCACAATGCCTGACCAATCAATGAGTGCAAATATAATTATCATCACTAGCTCGTGTCACTACATAAAATGGCTAAATATCATTGCATTGTTGAGTTTTAAAGCGGTGATCCTAGTGACAAATACAACTTGTACCAAGAATAATTGTTGTTTCTTTTGGGGGACGGGGCTAATATAATGCGCAATGCACTGCTAAGTTGGTTAGGTTGTACAATATGTGGAATTGAACATTTTGCACCCTGCAAGTGATGCCATGCTATTTTCAGGCTTCTGTCTTCATGTTTTTGTTGAAAAATGCAGTTTATATAGCATTATATTGTAAAGTGCTGCAAGAAAGTCCTGACAAACTTCAGGAGTGGCTAGATGAATGTCTGCTGGAATTCAATCCAGATAAGTGTAAGGCATTGCAGATGGGAAAGGGAGGTAGGAGACCATTAGGCAACTTCACACTAAGGTAAAGAAACAATAAGATAAAATTGCAACCATTAACACCAAAAGCTAATGTGAACAGGATAATGTCAAAAGCATACAGAAAATTGGCAAACAGAACCAAATCCAAATCCACTGCCTATGAGACCATTACTAGAGTATGCAGCACTGGCAAGGAACCAACACTTTGTGAAGCACAAAAAGCAACTTTACAAAATACAGAGGTTTGCAACTAGTTTTCGACCCCCCTCTCAATTCTAGTACAGTACTTAAGTCTCAGAACTGAGAGTGCTCCACTATAAAAACAGGTTAAGGGAACTCTGCCTCCCAACTTTAGCAGAGAGAAGAAACAAAATGGATATGATCATTATAAAAACAATACTAATGTGGATAGACAACATGAACAAAGGCAACTTATTTAAATTAATATGATGCAGGATAAAGGGACATTGGTGGAAGGTAGATAAACAACCGAGTCATGGAGCTTTAAGAAAATTATTGTACCTTGTACAAGTGGAATGCACCGAAGGAAAAAGTTGTCAAAACCACTTCTATTCACAACTATGAAAACTTAATTTCCAGAGATGTAATTAGCTAGCTACTATAAATAGTAAATCACTAATTGGTAAGCACCTGCTGAGGCCACTAACCAACATCAAATAGCTAGGCCTTTTTACCTTCTCTATTGATTTAACTTTTATGCGTTTTGATTTCATTATCTGGTACAATATTTATCTTGGGATTATTGTTATATTTCTGGGGGCTGTATTATCTTCTCAGAGAATGTATCATTTCATGATTATTGTACCATCTCGAGGGACTTGTACTGTCTTGTGACTGCTTTACCATTTCTAGGAATTGTTGTACCATCTCAAGGGACTTGTACTATCCTGTGATTGTTGTACTGAAAATTATACCTTGCACTGATTAGTTAACAACTCCAAAACTTGGCATCTGGTCTAAATTATCTAATCAACTAAACTATACATTACTCAGTGCCCTCTTATTCAGTTTTGTCTTCCTTATTTTATTCGTTCAGTATGTAATAATCTTGATAGTAGTGAGATATTTTATACAGTATTTTATAGATATTGTATTAAAAAATTTAAATGTGATATTTTCCATAAATTCCATGCCTTGTTCAATTATGCTTTTGAAGAGAAGTTTACCACATTCTGCATTATTTATGTTGATTTCACTTTTGCTAGACGTCATGATAATTTATTAGTTGCATTTATAAACAGATCTATGAGCCATTATTCTGTAAGTTCACTTTTTTCAACAAAATTTGTGCGCATTTGATCATGGTTCCGAGGAGACAGTCTGGTCATTTCACTTGTCGCCACTTTGTAGATTCCACTTTTTCCATGATTCTTGACGAGTGTTTGGTAGTCCTTCAGGGGAGTCAGTTTGGCCATTTGACTTGTCACCACTGCGTAGATTCCACTTTTTCCATGATTCTTGACGAGTGTTTGGTAGTTCTTCATTGGAGTCAGTTTGGCCATTTGACTTGTCACCACTGTGTAGGTTCCACTTTTTCCATGATTCTTGACGAGTGTTTGGTAGTCCTTCATTGGAGTCAGTTTGGCCATTTGACTTGTCACCACTGCGTATGTTCCACTTTTTCCACGATTCTTGACGAGTGTTTGGTAGTCCTTCATTGGAGTCAGTTTGGCCATTTGACTTGTCACCACTGCGTAGGTTCCACTTTTTCCATGATTCTTGACGAGTATTTGGTTTTGTTTCAAAGGAGTTTGCTTGACTATTTGATTTGTCACCATTCCACATGTTCCATTTTTTCCATGATTCTTGACGAGTATTTGGTTTTGTTTCAAAGGAGTGTTCTCGACTATTTGATTTGTCACCATTCCATATGTTCCACTTTTTCCATGATTCTTGACGAGTATTTGGTTTTGTTTTAAAGGAGTTTGCTTTGCCATTTGATTTATCGCCACTCCGTAGATTCCACTTTTTCCATGACTTTTGACGAATGCTTCGTTTTTTTCTAGAGTCTGCTTGCTCATTTGATTTGTCACCTATCTGTAGGTTCCATGGATAGCTTTCTGGATATTCTTCTAATAACTGGCTTTTCATGCCTTTTTCAGTAATGGTTTGTTCATTTTGCACAGTGTCTTTGTTCAAGCTCATATTGTCTTTATATCCTGGTTTCCTGTGACGTATGGCATTTTTCCGCTTCAATTTTGAAATATTTGGATTTTCTTGTTTATGGTTACAGTTTGGTTTAGAAAAGGTCAGGTACCTCCATGGCCAGCAAGTACCATTTCTCTTTAGTGTCTGCATTTTATTTTTAATGCTTTGTCCATAACCCCATTTTCGTGAAGGCTCTGCTCGTATTCTTTTCCAGGTTTCAAAAGAACTTTTCTTTGTTGGAAATGCTACTGATAATGACTGGTTATATCTATTAGGTTGTATTATCTGCATGGTCTCATTGGCTTCTGGTTTACGAAAGCTCGGGTATTTCCATGGTCGGCAAGTACCAATTCTCTTTCTCTTTGATGTTGGCTTTTTGTCATCAATACTTTGTCCATAACCCAGACGTTTTGCACGCTTTGCTCGTATTCTTTTCCAGGTTTCAAAATGCTTTTTCTTTGTTGGAAATGCTGCTGGTGATGTCTGGTCATACCTGTTTGGTTGTATTATCTGCATGGTCTCATTTGCTTCTGGTTTACGAAAGCTCGGGTATTTCCATGATTGGCAAGTACCAATTCTCTTTCTCTTTGATGTTGGCTTTTTGTCATCAATACTTTGTCCATAACCCAGACGTTTTGCACGCTTTGCTCGTATTCTTTTCCAGGTTTCAAAATGCTTTTTCTTTGTTGGAAATGCTGCTGGTGATGTCTGGTCATACCTGTTTGGTTGTATTATCTGCCTGGTCTCATTTGCTTCTGGTTTACGAAAGCTCGGGTATTTCAATGGCCGGCAAGTACCATTTTTCTGAAATGTTTGCATTTTATCTGTAGTAATTTGTTCCTGTTTACACTTTTTTGGCATCTTACCTAACACAGTTCTAGTAGTTTCTAATGACAACTCATAAGGCAAGTCCTCATCTTTCCCCGTTATTTTACGTTTGAGTCGGTGTAGTTTCAGCAGATGTTTTACATCTTCAGTCACATAATTATATGGAGAGTATGAGTTTGTAGAGGATTGGTAAAAAAATGTTCCTGGGGAGCTTCCTGCACCCGAGACTTTCTGTATTGGCCGCCCTCCTCCATATGATGGCCGATGTTGTGCCTTGGGTACTGAACCACTGGCTTTGTCGCCATTGATTTGCCTGCAATAAAGAAGGGGGGTGTTTAGTTAATGTGGGTTTTCTAATGATTTTTTGAAAGGTGTCATGTATTTGATACTGCTGGTTCCCTATTATGCAATGTTGTGGGAAAGATTTAGTATATATGTATATATATATATTTAGTAAAGTATATATACTATATTGACAACTCTTAAATTCTCCTAACAGATGCCTACTCACCTTATGAAAATTTGGAAAGAGGATAATGATGATGTCAGATATGTCTGGATAAATTTTAATTTAGGTCTTTAATATTCAGCAAGGATGGAACAAATAATACAAATACAGTATTAATGTGAATATCTTGTAATAAAATGTGTCAAACACTTATGAGGACTCACCTTTCAGTCATCACCCTGGGAGATAGAGGGTCACTTGGATCCAATGGAGCGACAAGTGAGGGAGATACCACCACATGTGACTCAGACTGGATGACACCATCTGTCACACTCGCCCTTGTGACCACCTATCAAAAAACATACACAACTAAATAACAGTTTGTGGGATATGTATACAGTATATATTTTACATATGTACAGTATATATAATATATATACTGTATGTATATATATATATATTAATCTTTTTGCTTTACTCTTCTTATTGCTGTATTCTCTTTACTTTCTTTCATTATATATATATATATATATATATATATATATATCCACTTCCCATTACTCACCCAGAGGGTAGTAAAAACACTGACGAAGTTCATGGCAGCTCACACTGACGAAGTTCATGGCAGCTCACACCATGCCGCCTCCACTACTAACTGATCCAAAATACGCACCCTATGTATATACCCATGAGCATAAAACAAGAAAAAGCTCTACATAACTACACATCCAAAGCTTAGACTTTATATTATCCAGTACAGTATTTAAATTCACTTCTGCATCTTTCTAGCATAAGGATTGAAATTGTGTATTTTTACGAACAACAACACTGCCTTTATCATTACTAATATTCAGTAGCAGCCAGTTCTTAAAAGAACAAAAAATATTATAGAAACAAAACGTCTCGTACAACCTTGCGTATCCCTGACCCAAAGACGAATTTGTAGTGTTCTCATACGTTGCATTGATGATGATCATTGAGGGACCCGTGGGAGGAAGAGGGGTGATAAAATCATCCACCCCCAGCAGAAGGAAGAGGCGATAACACCATCTACCAAAAACAGGACGTCTTAGTGATACTTCTGGAATACTGTAAATTATAATGCACGAACATTATTCAGTAATATGATAGTAGTGCATATGATAAGATATACATGGGTCTTACCAAAAATATGACATTTAAAAAATGTTGCTTCTTAGTGTATATATCACCAGGCTAAAAGATAGACAGATATTAATATGCGAGAAAGGAGACAAAGTTTCACAGCAGTGAAACTCAATATAGCCACCATTTTTCTCCATACAGCATCTGATTGAATTAAAAATTTAGAAAAATTGTCTGAAATGAGACTTGGTCCTTCCCCTGATTATTGATATGGCAGGTTAGGGAAAAATGGAGGGAAAACCTTATGTACTCTCCTAATCTGGAAGGCAATTGTGTATGGCTTATAAGCACCTCTACCAGCCAGAGGCTGTAAGCCAGTTGTGTGGCTTATGAAGCCTCTCTACTGGATGAAAGCCAGTTGAGTGTGGCTGAGGAAGCCCCTCTACTGACCATAGGCTGGAGATTAGTTGAAAGTGGTTTGTTAAGCCCTTCTACAGACCAGAGGGCAATAGATAGTTGAGTGTGGATTATGAAGCCATTATTCTGGAGAAGGAATTGGAGCCAGACCAACTACAACCTACTTTTATTATACAAGTTTGAATATTACCCATGGTACTGCATTAGCGAGGTTTGAGATAGGAGACCCAGCACGGCTCCCATGATTGCTCCCAACAATCTCGAGACTGTTCCCTTTTATGTAGCAGGCGCTAATCCTTTTGACTAGTCTTGATCCCGCATCACATCGAGGAATGCTGATCTTGGACCCTCTGCTGACTTCAGAGAGCCTTTCTGCCACTTGTGTGGTGATGCTATCACAGTGCTACTAGGTGTGGTAACAGTCCCCTTGGATTCTGTAACATCAAAATCATAGTGTAAAAACACTAGTTGAGCTGAATCTCAACCTCTGTATATAAAATTGGATAAGTTTCTACAGCATTTGGTCAACAAATGTGGTATACAGTAGTTTAATTTAGACCACCCAGGTTAAGCTCCCATTAATAATGATTTTAAATTGTACATTCAATTGACACAATTTGTAGGCACGATGCATGCACATGAACAAAACCTATGGAAGCCATAAATGCCATAAATGCCAAAATGTACCTGAATTTTAAAATCCAGTTCAACAGGATAAATGGGAGGACCTTTGACAAGCCACTGGCTTCCTGTCCTCGTGGAAGCTACTAAAAAGATATTGGCCCTCAGGTAAGTACATACACACTAGTCTTAGTCTATGCAGCCCCTCCATGGAGCCCTCACCTCAAAAAACGGCGAGGGGTCATATTTTGCCCAAACACCCCTGCAGTTTTCAAAATATCGTAAATGTCCGAAATTTGACTCCTGGGCGTGATTTTTGAGCCGAATTCTGACTGCACATATTTTCATTTTCAAATTACGAATTTTTATACCGAAAATATGCCAATTACTGAAAACGGAGAGGGATCATATTTTGCCCAAACCCCCCTGCGGTTTTCAAAATATCTGAAATGTCCGAAATTTGACTCCTGAGCGTGATTTTTGAGCCGAATTCTGACTCTCTGCACCTATTTTCATTTTCAAATTACGACTTTTTATACCGAAAATATGCCAATTACTGAAAACGGCGATGGGCCATATTTTGCCCAAACCCCCCTGCGGTTTTCAAAATATCTGAAATGTCCGAAATTTGACTCCCAAGCGTGATTTTTGAGCAGAATTCTGACTCTCTGCACCTATTTTCATTTTCAAGTTACGAATTTTTATACCGAAAATATGCCAATTACTGAAAACGGCGATGGGTCATATTTTGCCCAAACCCCCCTGCAGTTTTCAAAATATCTGAAATGTCGGAAATTTGACTCCTGAGTGTGATTTTTGAGCCGAATTCTAACTCTGCACGTATTTTCATTTTCAAATTACGAATTTTTATACCGAAAATATGCCAATTACTGAAAACGGAGAGGGGTCATATTTTGCCCAAACCCCCCTGCGGTTTTCAAAATATCTGAAATGTCCGAAATTTGACTCCTGAGCGTGATTTTTGAGGCGAACTCTGACTCTCTGCACCTATTTTCCTTTTCAAATTACGAATTTTTATACCGAAAATATGCCAATTACTGAAAACGGCGATGGGCCATATTTTGCCCAAACCCCCCTGCGGTTTTCAAAATATCTGAAATGTCCGAAATTTGACTCCTGAGCGTGATTTTTGAGCCGAATTCTGACTCTGCACCTATTTTCATTTTCAAATTACGAATTTTTATACCGAAAACATGCCAATTACTGAAAACGGCGTTGGGTCATATTTTGCCCAAACCCCCCTGCGGTTTTCAAAATATCTGAAATTTGACTCCTGAGCGTGATTTTTGAGCCGAATTCTGGCTCTGCACCTATTTTCATTTTCAAATTACGACTTTTTATACCAAAAATATGCCAATTACTGAAAACGGTGATGGGTCATATTTTGCCTAAACCCCCCTGCGGTTTTCAAAATATCTGAAATGTCCGAAATTTGACTCCTGAGCGTGATTTCTATTCAATCCCCGATCGTCCAAGTGGTTGGGCACCATTCCTTTCCATCCCGACCCCACTTCCATGGGCTAAGTAGTCGTAATGGCTTGGCACTTTCCCCTGATAATTCTGTTCCTGTACCTGCTCTCTCTCTCCTGCCTTAACCGTCAGGACTTTGTCCTCACTAATCTTGCTCTTTAGTAGTTAACGTTCACCGTCCACGTACAGTTCAGTGCAGGACAGGTTACGCTGTGTTCCCTTCCTACATGCCTCTAAAATGTGTTAAAATCACGCAAGCACATCACCTCGCGGGTTGCACCTCTACTATGCCCACTTGCGTGAACTCTTGTTCATTTACACTTCTAGCCTCCTTCAGTATAATAAAATACCCACTCTCTCAACTTAACACTTGTGCCCGACTTCATGTTAGATTCATTGCAGTTTAATGCTAACAATGTGAAGAGAGAAGAGGGGCCGGACCAACCGGGCTGTGGGCCTGCGGGCCGCTCCAAGCAACAGCCTAATGGACCAAACTCAGTCAAGCCTGACTTGGGGAGTAAAACTCCCAGGACCCCATCAACCAGTGTGTCTAGATGGGGGAGGGGAGATAATTGAGCCGTCTTTTGTAGTGTTCAGTAATTTTGAGTGCCATCGGATCAACTTGCATGCTCATTGCTAAACTGCATTCCTTGTAATTTTTAAAGTCGGGCTGATGGAATGAGAGCCGTGCATATGGTCTTAATCTAGCAGTAGAGTATGAATAAGGTATATAGGCGCAATAAAGGCAGGTTATTTGCCATTATTTTCAGTTTCGTGCCTTCTTTTGATAATTACTTGCCATTATTTTTTTACATAAATTATCGCGAAATCTGAATATTTAATAAGTTGCTGTTTATTTATCCAGAATCTCGCTATCTAATTTTCACAGTACGTACTTTTTTAAATTGCCAGACAGCCAAGAATGAATAATTTTTTAAATGATCTAAGCTCTAAGGCTGATGCATGATGGTCAATTTAATCCTGTATGCGCTAAAATATTTCGGGTATTTAAGCATTTACATGTACTACAGGCTCTTTACTTTACAGCAGGTAGAGCCTAATAGTCCTGCCCTTAATTGCAGCAAAGATATAAGGGACAGATTTCCAAGTATTTGTAAGTTAAGCCTATTGACAAGCTATTAGTTTTTTCAGTCCACTTTTGCAATTACTAGTCTATTAAACAACTTAAGTTTTCAGTGTTAATTACAAGGTTATAAATGTAATTTCAGAAATATGCAACTTAGGATTATTTGTATGTAACGACGAATTTTGGTACTGCTGATGACAAAAGTTGTGAACACTTACTAATGTGTCAAAACTAAACATGCAGATAAAGTCGTTACACAGGCAACTGTCATAGATGGGACGAAAAACAAGTTGGCTAGGTTCAGGTATTGGAATGAGATTAGTCCATGAAACCGATGTCAATTGATAATTTTAACAGATTAGCGTACATACTGTTTACCGGGTGATTATGACATTTTCCAATGGTCCCATAGCTGGAAACCAGGATTAGCAACATGATATAAGGTGTACAAAGATAAAAAAAACAAATTATAACTCAATCTCCTTTATTTTCGCAAATTATGGAATGATTCTACGAAAATGATGTATTCCTTGGTCACGGAAATACATTTGATTTGTATGGAATGGTTGGACTAGTGTAGGTCGACTGTATAGGTAGACAAATCTGAGCTAGACAGCCAGAATTTAATCCACTTCTTCGATGGTAGGTCCAGAGCCGCCACTGCCAGGAGCAGCACCCGTACCCGCGCCAGGGGCACCAGGGAAACCACCAGGCATACCACCGGGCATGCCGCCAGGAGCACCTCCAGCTGCCTGGTACATCTTTGTGATGATTGGGTTGCAAACTTGCTCTATTTCCTTCTGCTTGTGCTCGTACTCTTCCTTCTCACCAAGCTGGTTTGCATCTAACCACTTGATTGCATCATTGCAGGCTTCCATTATCTTGTTACGGTCCTCTTCAGAAACCTTGTCCTTAAACTTTTCTTCTTCAACGGTAGATTTCATATTGAAGCAGTAGGATTCTAGAGAGTTCTTGGAAGAAATACGATCTCTCTGCTTCTCATCTTCAGCCTTATATTTCTCTGCATCTTGAACCATACGTTCGATTTCCTCTTTACTCAAGCGACCCTTATCGTTGGTGATAGTAATCTTGTTTTCCTTGCCAGTGCTCTTGTCAACAGCAGACACATTAAGAATACCATTGGCATCAATATCGAAGGTGACTTCAATCTGAGGAACACCTCGAGGTGCTGGAGGGATGCCAGTTAGTTCAAACTTCCCGAGAAGGTTGTTGTCCTTGGTCATAGCACGTTCTCCCTCGTAAACCTGAATAAGCACGCCTGGCTGGTTATCAGAGTAAGTGGTGAAAGTCTGAGTCTGCTTTGTTGGAATGGTGGTGTTGCGTTTAATTAGAGCAGTCATCACTCCCCCAGCAGTTTCAATACCCAAGGAGAGAGGAGTGACATCCAGTAGGAGCAAGTCCTGAACAGCTTCAGACTTATCTCCACAAAGAATGGCAGCCTGAACAGCTGCACCATACGCTACAGCTTCATCTGGATTAATTGACTTGTTCAGTTCCTTTCCATTGAAGAAATCTTGCAAAAGCTTCTGAATCTTTGGGATGCGAGTAGAACCTCCCACAAGAACTATATCATGAATCTGGGCTTTGTCCATTTTTGCGTCTCGAAGAGATTTCTCAACAGGCTCTAGAGTACCACGGAACAAGTCAGCGCACAACTCTTCGAAACGCGCACGTGTAATAGAGGTGTAGAAGTCTATACCCTCGAACAACGAATCTATTTCTACACTAGCCTGAGTCGAGGACGATAAAGTGCGCTTCGCACGTTCACAAGCAGTACGAAGTCGGCGAAGGGCACGTTTGTTTTCAGTTGGATCTTTCTTGTACTTGCGCTTGAACTCTTGAATGAAGTGGTTTACCATACGGTTGTCAAAGTCTTCACCACCCAAATGAGTGTCACCAGCAGTCGACTTTACTTCGAAGATGCCATCCTCGATGGTCAAGATGGACACATCAAAAGTACCACCGCCAAGATCGAAAATGAGTACATTGCGCTCACCACCAACTTTCTTGTCAAGACCATAAGCGATGGCAGCGGCGGTGGGTTCATTAATGATACGCAGCACATTGAGACCAGAGATGGTTCCAGCGTCCTTGGTAGCCTGGCGCTGAGAATCATTGAAGTACGCTGGCACGGTTACAACTGCATCCTTCACTGTAGTTCCCAAGTATGCTTCAGCAGTTTCCTTCATTTTGATTAGCACCATTGAGGAAATTTCTTCTGGGTAGAAAGTCTTAACGTCCCCTTTGTAATTTACTTGAATCTTTGGCTTTGTGTTATCATTGATGACGTCGAATGGCCAATGTTTCATATCAGCCTGGACATTGTGATCATCAAACTTCCTACCAATTAATCTCTTTGCATCAAATACTGTGTTGTTTGGATTCATGGCCACCTGGTTTTTTGCCGCATCACCAATGAGGCGTTCTGTGTCTGTGAATGCCACATAGGAGGGCGTTGTTCTGTTGCCCTGGTCGTTGGCGATGATTTCAACCTTGCCATGCTGGAACACGCCCACACAGGAGTAGGTAGTTCCCAAATCGATACCAACTGCAGTAGTTTTAGCCATTTTTGCGTTTCTGAAAAAGAAAATTAATTTTTAGTATACTATAGTATAACCATGCCTGATTACACAAACCTTAAAATACACAAAATATTAAAGCAGACAAACTGGTTATCAAAAGGGAACAAAATGGTAGTCGCTATAAAATACTAATAAATTCATACTAAACTGGCACCAATTTAAATGCATTAATGCCTATAGCCCAAGCTACAAAACATTCAAAACGTGTAATATTGTGATGTCCCTTATTGTCGAGAAATTTGAAGATGAATGGCAGAGTGCACACTATTATTCATGATAATTTGTCGCGAGTTTCCAGATTTATATTACAAAATATAAATCAAGTGCAGTGCATGCACATAAGTACAGCATGTACTTATTTGCATGATGAATGTTGAATGTTCAAATCTACATCACTGGACCAATGTGCACACATTTTAGTTCTATTAATTAAAATCCTATGTACGCATGCTCCGATTTTACAAAAATTGTAGTCTTTAAATTTTTATTACATTAGTTTATTAATGCTAAAAAATCTGGTTTACACATTTAATTTTGTTTTAATTTATCAAGTTTTCACAGGCCCTGTAATCCACTAATTCATTTGATCCTCGAGAGGTAATTGTAATAAAACTTATTACTGTACTGACCCAGTACCAATACAAGGTGTTTTTTCCTAAAACAAATTTGCAACTACTGAAACCTCTGCAGGGAAAATAAGAGTATAAGAGGTTATGGCAATTTTGGTTATTCTCTGGCATCAGTCCTCAATAATGGTGTACTGCCATAATTATGAATCGGGCAACAACTACAATACAGCATACAAAGTATTTAATGGTGTATATATATATATATATATATATATATATATATATATATATATATATATATATATATATATATATATATATATATATATATATATATATTATTAAATATGACCGAAAAAGTAAGATTAATAATTCTAACACGAATTTTCTCAATCTTTCGTACATTACGCTTCACTGTTGGAGGTAAATCAAAAATCACTTCTCCAAAATTCATTTTTATTTCTAGTCTGACGCGACACGGGCGCGTTTCGTAAAACTTATTACATTTTCAAAGACTTCACAAATACACAACTGATTAGAACGTATCTCTGGCAGCGTCAAGCCGCGTCAAGCCGCCTGCGAGGCACTACACATCAAGAAGTCAACACCAGCAATCAACAGCCAATTATTGCACAACTATATTCTACCCACCTCAAGACTCCGCTCCAATATAGAAGCATCAAGAAATATGGACCAATAGGCTTTCTACAAACACTTCTATTCAATACCCATTGTTTCTGTTCTGTCTTGTGTTGATACTTTTAATACCCTATTAATATCCCCTCCTGTTCTGTCTTGTGTTAATGCCACATCACCCTTACCACCTCACTCAAATGTAGATATAAAATCAGAGATACGTTCTAATCAGTTGTGTATTTGTGAAGTCTTTGAAAATGTAATAAGTTTTACGAAATGCGCCCGTGTCGCGTCAGACTAGAAATAAAAATGAATTTTGGAGAAGTGATTTTTGATTGACCTCCAACAGTGAAGCGTAATGTACGAAAGATTGAGAAAATTCGTGTTAGAATTATTAATCTTACTTTTTCGGTCATATTTAATAATATATGTCTACAGGAAAGACTGCTACCAAAATATACTTATAATATATATATATATATATATATATATATATATATATATATATATATATATATATATATATATATATATATATATATATATATATATCAGCCCGTCCTCCAAAAATGGGGTGGTAAATGTAAGGAGACAAATAAGTGCAATTATGTACTATTCATAGCAGTTAGGAATTGTACTTATTTTCACTTAGTATTAAATCGTACTGTCAAATATATTGTGAATATTTGAGTTTACCCGAAAAACTGAATAGAAAACCACAACCTCACCTAACCGTCTTAGTTTTTTAAGATAATAATTTTATTGCTTCTTAATTACAATTAGTACTTAACCTATAGCTATATTGATATTACAGTTTTATAAAACTAATAAAACAAAACTAAAATATATCAATAAATTGTAAAATAACTCAGGATATTTTAAAATTTTGTATAAAATCTATATTGTTTAATAAACCAGAAAAAAAAATTCTTGATATTTAAAACTTCTGAATTGCAAATTGAAATTGAAAATTTCATCCTAAAATTCTGTGTATCTTAACAGAAAACGAGGGGAATTAAATCGGGGGAGGGAGTTGGGTAAATGTAACAGTCCCATAAGTGCAATTATGCACTGGTTATGACAGTTAGAAAGTGTACTTATTACACTTAGTATTAAATCGTACTGTCAATTCGGAGGATGGGTTGATATTATATATATATATATATATATATATATATATATATATATATATATATATATATATATATATATATAAAATATTTATTATGTTTCTTTTCACTGTCGATGGTAATTTAAAAAATCAGTTCTCCAAAATTCCTTTTTATTTCTAGTCTGACGCGACACTTAACGCGTTTCAAAATAACTTATTACATTTTCAAAGTATTTTACACACACACAACTATAACCTGCAAACACTAAACAGATTTCTTACTATGCTATAATTCAAACAGAATTTTATTTTATATACCTGCATTTGGGTGAGGTGATATGTTACAACAGTTTTGGATGAGGTGAAGACAAACTTTCAACACAAGACAGAACACGAAACAATGGGTATAATATTGGGCAAGTCAAAGGGAAGAATGGAAGTACCTGCAAAGTTACTATTGGCCCGTATTTCTTGATGCTTCTATATTGGTGCGGATTAATTATTACAGCCAATTAATGCACAACTATATTCTACCCACCTCAAGACTCCGCACCAATATAGAAGCATCAAGAAATACGGGCCAATAAGCCCTTTGCAGTTACTTCCATTCTTCCCTTTAACTTACCCAATATTATACCCATTGTTTCGTGTTCTGTCTTGTGTTGAAAGTTTGTCTTCACCTCATCCAAAACTGTTGTAACATATCGCCTCACCCAAATGCAGGTATATAAAATGAAAAGCCATTTGAATTATAGCATAGTAAGAAATCTGTTTAGTGTTTGCAGGTTATAGTTGTGTGTAAAATAGTCTGAAAATGTAACAAGTTATTACGAAACACGTTCAAATGTTGCATCAGACTAGAAATAAAAATAAATTTTGGAGTAATGATTTTTCCAATTACCATCGACAGTGAAAAACAAATAGTGAAAATTCGTGTTAGAATTATTAATCTTACTTTTTGTCATATTTAATAATATATGGTTTACAGGAAAGACTGCTACCAAAATATAAGTATAAATATAAATATAATTATATATATATATATATATATATATATATATATATATATAATTAGGGAAGGGAGTACCACCTCTAGCTGGAAGAAGGGGGACCCATAGCCTCGGAGGAAACCACGCATAACGCATTAGCCATTTGAATTATATATATATATATATATATATATATATATATATATATATATATATATATATATATATATATATATATATATATATTACACTATATATTACACACTAGCACGCATAGTTTGGGGAAAGTCCTTAATACTAATTTTATCACATCCCCATGAAGCAGCCCGTAGCAACTAACTCCCAGGTACCTATTTACTGCTAAGTGAATAGAAGCATCAGGGTGAAAGAAACTGCCCATTTGTATCCACCTCCACCAGGGATGAAACCTGGACCCTTAGGACTACAAACCTCAAGGGATGTCCACTCAGCCACCAGGTCCTCAATATAATGGGGGTGAATATAAACGACAGCAGAAACTAGAGCTATGGAATAATCACTGGGAAATCCAATTTAACAATGAAAAACTTGTGCTACCAGATTCTTATAAAGCATATTGCTAAGTAAGGGGTAGGTTAGATAATATATGAAAATAAATTTGGCTACCCTATAAAAATGGATTACAATGTATATTCAAAATACTGTATTTAAAACCCACTTTGTAAAGCCAAAGAATATAGTATGACAAATTAGGTTAAATAACAAAGGCACCCAAATGGATAACCAAAGGACTAAAGAACCTTATTGGAAAATTGAATGCAATGGATAACAATAGCAAAGTTTTAAATCTTTAAAAATTAATAAATTTTAACAGTTTTACATGGGTTAGTTGTAATTTACAATCAAATTAACATTTCCCAAAATGTTTCCAATTGAATGATAGTGGAAGAGCTTGACATGCAATTATCAGAAGGCACTAACCCATTATGATTATACAGCATTTAGCCCATTATGATTATACAGCATTTAGAAGACATACTAGGATAGATTTGGTATAGGAAGGAGGAAAGAAATGATGCCAAACTCCTTAGACAAAGTACATTGAATGTAACTTAAGAAGCACAGCAGTCTTAAAATGGTTGGGATAATGTGCAGAAAAACATTATTTTACTTTTATAGCACTTAATGTATATACTATATATAAAAAGCATACAAACCAAGGTCTTTAAATTGGAATAAAATAGAACAATGATATACTTGCTAAAAAAAACTGGAGAAATACAATTTCAGATTTTGAATAAATTACCAGGCAAAGAAACTGGCAGGATCACTGCATTTTAAGCAGGCCATTCTTGGCATTAAGTGAATTAGACACCAATCCCCCCCCCCCCTCACCACCTGGATAGTTACACTTGCAATCTGAAAGCAAGTTACAGTTCCCATAAGTATTTGTAATAATAACAAATAAACCTTTATCCTGAACAAAGTATTTTTAAGAGGTAAATAATAACCCTTGCATTATAAATTAATGGTTTAAAATATGATAAACTCTGATAATACACCAATTTAGCCTTACCTAACCATGTATAGGGAGTATATAGTACCATTAATCATGTGGTGGTTTTGATGAGATTGTAAGGGTACCAACCCTGAGGACTGGTAAGTTTCATGACAAGAATTTGTATATAGCAAATAAAAAAATACTGTAGCTGCAACATTTGGGGCAATAGGCCTTCTGCAGTTGTACTTGTATAATACATTTAAAGGGATGAACTGAATTTTAGAAGTTGCAAACACCCAGAAATTTTCAAGCATACATTTGAAAGTTCTTTTCAATAAAGTAATTTCTTCTGTAGGTTAGGTCAGAGTTTATACTGTTAATGTAATCAAAACCAAAACAATTAGTGCAACTAGCTACTCCCTATCAATGGTATGGTTAGGCTAGGTCAAGACTTATCAAAACGTGAAATATGAAATTCGATATAGCATCCTAATAGAATTTGACACCAAAGAAATTCTTGAGCAGACCTTAAGATTTCACCAAACCATTAATTTATAATGCAATAGCTTTATACTGTTCTCCGTTTTGGTAAGTTCTTTCCAGTTTACAAGAAGCCTACTGTTGAAACCGTAATAGGCTTAAAAGACCATCACAAAAATCTAAGATAATTATCCATGTGGTGCGAGGGGACGCGCCATTATATAAAAAAAAACTTGTACGAAGTAAAAATATTGCAACACTATTCGGAATAATCCGGTTTCTGCAGAAAATTTGGGGTTGGTTGATACAACGCAACATTCTAGAGGTTATAGTCAAAATACCAATGACGTTAAAAAGCACTAACATTAGTGGACGTGAGGAAGTGGAAAGCCTTTGTCTGGATAGACGGAACCCGAGGCCACGGACCCGCTTTAATACATACAAGTAAATTTTAGGAATTATTTTACTACTAATAATTAAATGGAGAAACCATTTCAAAGAAACTAAAACAAAGCCCTCATCTGAATAAGAGGCAATGAAGATAAACTTCAAGAAACGTTATTTCTAGAGCAAATAGAACATATGACCTAAATTAATCTGTCTAGAAACCACAGATACGGAAAATAGTGATATTTTAAAATATTTAATAGCCCTTATGATCAATAAAAACTTACAGAAAGTTACACGAACTAGGGATTGCACCATATCGCATTTATGTAAAAACAAAAAAAAATAAATTAGGGTGTTATCAGCGCAAGAGAAAACTAAACTTTTACATACAAGAGTGCAGTGGAATACCCGGTGGATCAATACACCCGGGGAAGGTTTAGGTACACGCTACAGCCCCGCTACCTCACCAACACCAGAGTCAATGAACGTTCCTAAACGTCTTCCAAACACCAAAAACGTTGCCCTTGCAAACCTCTCATCCAAATACGTTTACCCGACTAACAACCAAGACCAATAAACTTACTGTAAGATAAATATCAGCAATATATGGTGTGCGGTGGGTGGGAGTGACCGTGTGCGTACTTCCTGCTGGTCTCGGCTGGTATGAGCCCTGGCCGGCGCGCCACTCTCCGCCACCCTCCCGGATGCTACGTCACCCTCCTACTCCCGGGAATGTTCTAGAACCTCTAGTGACGTAGTCCCGCGTTGGCCAATGGTCTTGGGAAACACGACCAGTCACCTGTTACGATTGGCGCGCCCGCGAACCCTCCTCGTGCGCTCATTGGCTACAATCTGGCGGGAAGTTGGAGCACTGTGGCCGGGTGTGGCGTCTCAGGGCTGCCAACACTGACGGTGCGGCCACACCACCGGCCACGTGGGATCCCAGTCCTCGGGAACCCACCACATGGCGCCCTATACACCTCCACCCACCCTATTACACAGTATAACAGCAATAACGTTTAACTATTGTTATATTTAGATATTCTGCACACTGGCCATTAGCTCCACTGAAAGCAACACACTAGGGTATCACTAGGCTCTGTAGCGCTGCTTTTGAATCAGTGCACAACACTGTACCATTAGTGTTTCG